TGTTCATATGAATACTTCTATTCGTAGGAGGATGAACCTGAATGTTTGGATTAATACTAATACTAATCAACACACCGATGCTAATATGAATACTCATACTGTCAAGCTGCTTTTTTACACGCATCGAAAATCGATTCGAGGAAAAAAGCCATTTTCATCGTGCCTGCCGAGGTTTTATGGATAGGCGCGTGTCATGGGAGGGGGGGCGACCATATATATATATATATTTATATTTATATATATATATACATACACACACACACTGTGCTTCTGGTGCTTGTTGAAGACTTCTTGCGAGGTTGATGGCTGCTTGAAGCACCGGCCGGAGGCCGTGCCCGTGGAGCAGCAGCGTCCCCAGGCTCTCCCCCAAAAGGCCTTTGCGCTTTTCTTTGGAGCACTCGGAGCAATGCCCCTCAAGGTTTATATACAGGGTTTATATAGGGTTCATAGGGTTTAGGCCTTGTCTCGCGCTTGCGCGCTCTCGCACTCTCTCGTCTTCTCGAGACCCTTGTCTCTGTGCTCTCTCGCCCGCTCTGTGAGTTCTTGGCATTCAGTACGTATGAGTACATACATGGGCAGCACTCGGCTGAAAGTCGGACTCCAAGCCCAAGAAGTCATAGAAACACATAGCTTCTCGCTTGCCCGAGTATATAATAGTAGAGTATAGAACACCGGGCAAGATCCGTTGTGTGCGTTTCGACTACGATCCGGATCCGGAGCGGTCTGCTTGGGTTGGAAGCCTCTTTCTGGAAAGTCGCAACCCGTCACGAACCGATGAAAAGTCAGGCATCCGGCAAGAAGAGCAGAAAACAGTCCGGAAGCGACTGCACTGGATGGCCGGATCGCATTTCCCTGGCTTCGACCTACACCTCCAGCATACCAGGCAAGCACATAATACCTCAGCCGCATATACATCTATGCACACACACATGACGCATGTCTATGCATCCCTTCAAACACTCCCAAGTCCCTGAACCACTCACGGCCTGCTTGATGCAAGCTAGAGGCTCAAACACAGAACTCCAGGTATTTTGCTGATCACTTGGAGCCCATCTTGAGTGCTCTGGTCTACTTCTCGGAGAGCCTATCGATTCGTTTTGTGGAGCAGCTCTTTTAGCCTCAGGCCATTGACTGCATTGCCAGCCAGCCGGAGAACCCAACCGCCTTTTTGCATGCTTGGGCATGACCCCTAGACGTTCTTAGAGCGTTGCTGCTGTGGCTGTGGCTTTGAAGGCAACTGGGTGTGGACAGCTGAGGTGAAACAGCGCGAGTGCGAGACCTCTCCGTCCCAAAAGGGCTCTGCACTGCAGGAGCGGTACACGCCTCGCTGATGCGTGTCAAGGATGCTCCGAGCCGTGGATAGAGACCCCACATGGCCATCCCATCACAGGAAACCGTACTGATCGTGCTTTCAGCAAACACGGATCGGCCACCATGCCTCTCTGTCTCTGTGTCTCCCTGTCTGTCTTCGAAGCTCGATGCATGCTCAGTGAGCCTCCGTAGCTGTCCTCTCAGCCAACGCAGGATGGGGATTTCGACATGTCGCCCATCGCCCGCATGGCGATCTCGAGCTGGCATCACAAGGTCCGTGCCTTTTCGGGATTCCTTGATCTTCGGAGGGCCCTTCCGGAGTTCGGAGTCCTGCAAAGCCTGCAATTCAAGACAGCGGGGTACTCTCTCTCTCTCTGTCTCTCTCTCTCTCTCTCTCTCTCTGTGTCTCGAGTCTGTGTATATATATATATACACATACATATATATATACATACATATATATATATATATAAAGATACATATATATATATACATATACATATATATATATATATTTTTGTTTTTGTTGGTGCATGTGTATGTGTAATTCCAACTGTCTATCTCTGTGTCTATCTATCTATCTAGCTAGGTAGCTAGCTACCTATCCATGTATCCATCTATCCATCTGTCTATCTGTCTATCTATCCATGTATCTATGCATGTATCTATCTATGTATCTACCTATCTATCTACCTCTCTCTCTATATATATATATATATATGTATCTCTCTCTCTCTCTCTCTATCTATCTATCTATCTATCTGTCTGTCTCTTTACCTACATGTATATATATATATAGAGAGAGAGAGAGAGGGAGAGAGTGAGTAGACATACAGTAGATATAGATATAGATATAGATGCGGACATGTACGTATATGCATATATATATATACACACATTTGTATTCGAATGGGGGTTGGGGCTCACAGTCATGTCTCATGCCGACAAGACCGACCACGAACTCAGGCCTAGCGCTGTCGCGCGGGGGGTGGGGAGCGCACTTCCCTGTCCTCCACACACCCTGCAAGCAACAAGAGAGATGGCGGCGGGAGACAGTGTGCAATGTAAAACAAGCGTCTTCCAAGGAGTGCTCTCGAGAGTTGGCTGCGCTGCAGAAGGAGTACGGAAATCTGCAAGATGCCAGGGGCCCTGGTTGCAGAGGCTTGCGGGTGTCTCTGGAGTTCCTCCCTTTAGGGGGAAAAGTGCCAGGGGATGTTGGGGCAGTTTTTGCAGCCTCATGTTCAGGTTCTCAAGACGTCACAGCGGGGTCTGCGACTCTTGCGGGCTGCAGAAGCCGGAGGCATCCACGAAAGGACTTTCGAAGCACGCTCCTTGTCCTTGCCGAAGTTCGCAGATCGTTCGGCGCTCGTGGCCATCTTGGAGCCGCTGGGCTTGGCGCAAGGCGGGGGGGAGGGAGGAACTTTTCGGCTTCCCTCGAAGCATGTGGCAAACGCTTCCCTCATCTGAGGGCAGTCGAGTTCCGCCACGGCGGCGGCCCTTCACTCGGATGTCTCTGAACGGTCCATCTTCTTCTACATTCATAGGGTTTAGCGTTTAGGGTAGGTTCACTCGGTACTACTGTAGCTGGTTGTGGTGACAGACTTGCCTGCAAGGTCCAAGCCATGGATCACCTGGGCAAAGTGCTCCGGTGCCTGCGCAGCCGCGGTGGGGGCCCCGCTTCTTCTCGGACCTCGTAGTACCTCGTAGCCCTATACCCTAAACCCCTAAACCCTACAAGCCCTAGACCCTATAAACCCTAAACCCTATAAACCCTAAACCCTATAAACCCTAGTAACCTATAAACCCTAGAAACCCTATAAACCCTAAGCCCCTAAACCCTATAACCCCTATAAACCCTAAACCCTATAAACCCTATAAGCCCTAGAAGCCCTAAGCCCATTTTTTACCCTTCAGGTGTGACGAGCGCCTCATCGGCCTTCCTGCACTTCAGCCCGGATCAGGACCTCCCCAAGAGCACGTAGGGCGACTTAGAAGTGCCTAGGGTCAGAGAGTCTAGGGCTTATAGGGGTTATAGGGTTTATAGGGGTTATAGGGTTTAGTGGGTTTAGGGTTTAGGGTTTAGGGGTTTAGGGGTTATAGGGTTTATAGGGTTTATAGGGTTTAGAGGTTGTGGGTTTTGGGTTTAGGATGAGTCAGAGCCAGTCAGAGCTGTCCAGTGGTACCTGGATAGCCAGAGGCGCTTCTTGCACAAATTTCGGCTCAGTTTTTGGAACACACCGCGCGTGCAAGGGCACGCACAAACATATCCATCCATATATATATATATATAGATAGAGACCATCTAGACTCACATGGGTGCCAAGCTCCTCGGACGCATCTCATGGTCTGATTAGCGAGCCAAGCTAGGCATCTAGGCAAGCAAGCAAGCAAGCTGGACGGTATCTAGCCAACACACTTGTGCCCCCGCAGCAGCGCCAGCTGTTCAGGCAATGGCAGTTTTCGCATCTGACTCTAATTACATCTCTTGCAATGTTCTCGTGAAGGCAAACACGGGCAGAATGGTCACCCCAGGACTGGCAAAGTCGGGGCAGAAAGAACACCAGTTTTTTTGCCTCCTTCGCTGCCAGGCCTTGCCGCCTTGCCGCCAAGCTGGCGGCTTCACCTTAGCTCCGCCGGACCAAGGGGCGCGGCCCCAAAGCAAAGATGTGTGGTGATGTGTCACCGTCTGAGAGTTTGAGCCGGAGCTCCAACAGAGCGCAGAGGCAGGGCCGACGTCGGTTTCGGGGCCACGCCCAGTCACCGCCCAAGCGACGCGCACCTCGCGCATCAGATGCTCAGTCGAGTGACCGTTGCAAAATTTTCAGGCCTTCCGTCGAGGGTCAGCAAGTCTGCCCAGAATGCCGGGCCCTGAAAGGGATGCACTGCAGCCTCTTTGACGAATCCACTGTTCTCGGTTTCTGCTCTTCTTTTAAAGGCTTCCCGTGGTATCTCCGGTTTCTGGAGCCTGACCTTGGCAACACCGGCTCGTTGCAGACGCGTGTTCAGAGGCATAGCTGGCATAGCTGCTGTCAAGCGTCGACTCCAATGCACGACGACTGTCGTTGGCTCGTCCTTTACTTTACTTGCTGGCGCGGTACATTGACTGTAGCAACTAGCAACCAGCAGAAGCCAGCACAAGCCATCTTCAGTTAGCCAAAAGCAGAACCATGCATGTGACTCAGATGCACCACCTGGCATCCTTCGTCATAGGTCTTGATAAGCGACGACGCCCTCACTTCGGATGGAAGAAGGGCGCTGTGCGTAAGATGACATGTGATGGGCGCAGCACGGAGCTGTGCTGAGAAGCCCTGGTGCCTGTCGCCCCACGCTTGTGACCGCGATGGGCAGACATACCTGGACTTGGTGACTGCTGCGTGGCTGCCGAAGACCTTTTGTTTGTGTGTGTGTGCGTCCGTTTAGCGCGGGCAATTCGCCTGTCCAATTCCGCCTGTTTATCTTCCTGCCTGCCTGTTTGAAGAGTTTAAGTTGCTTCAGGGCTTACATGCATTAATTGCCTATTACCGTTGAGGACGTCAGCCCTTATATGCTTCAATAGCCCTTCGACTGCTGGAGGCCATCCCCAGCCACGGGCAGTGTGGAACCTTTGACGAAGAAATCATCGAAGTGGAATGCCCTGCTGGCGCCATCTTCCCAGAGACACTGCAGAACTTGAGACTGCTGGACAGGCCGGTGAATAGTTTATCAGGACACTGCTTTCTCCGGTGTAGACTTCAAGATTCAGTGAGTGTAGTTGGGTCGTAGAGTGGTAGTTTCAAGATGGGATGTCCTGATTCCGACCTCATTGCGAGGCATTTTCTGGTCTTCTGTGGCACCTCCAACCTGGTGGCTCTGAGATGGGTCCTGCGCTTCGGTGCCTCTCCAAGCACCCATGATACCAACAGCACCACCGGTTTGCACGCGCCTCGACGTGGCAGCAAGATGGAGGGGTTGTAGCAGCAGCGACTGTGCTGGCAAGCGAAGGTTTGAAGAGCGAACCCTAGGCATTGCTTGGTGTATGTAGATGGCCCGTGTTCACTCTACTCAAGTGAAAAATTACAAAGACCATCCCAAGTCTGGCATTGCAGTTGAAGCCACTCCCCCCCTTTCGTTGCATGTATAGCCCCGATGCTCAGAGGTGGCCTGCCGTTCTGGCTCTTGCAGCGTGGTCCTGGAGCTGCTGAGGCACCGGCCGGCCCTGGACCGCGCCGACGTCGCGGGCTGGACGCCCCTGCACGTCGCCGCGCGCATGTCGCGCTGCAGCATCGTGGTCCTCCTCCTCAAGGCAGAACCCCCGGCCGTGCAGCTGCACTAGTGCACTATAGGGAGCTTGTAGAGTAGCTCACTATATAGACTATAGATAGAAGGAAAAACCCCGAGCAAGAGGATTTTGTTGAGGGAAGATGGGTGAGAGTCTGTGCTTTGCATGGCTCTGCATGGCAGGCTGGTGCACCAGCCTGGGTTCGGAATAGCCACGGGGAGCTGCCCTCGGACATGTGCCTGGATGGGGCCACACACGCTGCTTTCGCATCCTTCCAGGAGTATTTACTGTCGGGTTCCCGCGGTTCCCAAGCTGCGGCTGCTGCTTGGAACTTCTATTGGGACAGGCCGGAGGCAGATGATTCAGAGGCACCCTTGCCAACGCCCTTCTTCACGCCTCAGCAGCCCATGGCCAATTTGCGCAGCCAGAAGGAAGCAGTGGTCGTCGGCACTCGTATCTTCAATGCGCAGCCCGGCTACGGCATTGCGTTCATCCGCGCTGCCGGCTTGGTCCACGACTACCCCAGGAGCTCTTCCAAGTTCCTCTACCAAGAGGGCATCGACCGCCAGGCGCGCGAATGCGAAGCTTGAAGTGGCAGGAAGTGAAAGTCAATCTTCGGAATCTCTTGAGCCCCCCGCTGGAAGGCTCAGTTTCCGGCGCTCTTTGGTCGGGGGGGGGGCCGGGCGGGGGGGGTTAAGGGCCCGCAATTACAGGCCACCCTATAGCGACCGAGACCCAGCAGCGCCCGGTGGCGCCTGTCTCCGCCACCAGGGTCAGCCTCAGCTATAGATATATAGGGGGATGAGGAATCGAACGCTTGGCTTTGCCGTGCTTTGAGGCCGTCGGATATTTCCTTGGCCAGACCTTTTCCATGTGCCGGCGCCTCAGCAGTTCACATCGCCCCGACGGGCGACACCAAATAAAAGAGAGCAACGCGGGCTTGCAGCTTCCGTTTGCCGAGGTGAGACACTTCGCCTGGCCTTTTTCAGCCGCTGCGAGTTCTGGGGCACTGGAGTCATCTCGGCTTTAGTGGAAGCCCGCGTCGGCTTCGATTGGCCGGGATCCCCAGCAACCCCAGCACAGGCTCAGAACATGCCCCAGACTTCTTCTTAAAGGGGCTCGGCCCCCTCCTCCGCGGAGTAAGGCCGGACGACTTGCAGCAAATCAGCCGCATCACCTATGCCATTGCCATTAACTGGTGGACCTGCCACGAAGAAGGACAGCCTTCCGGTGCGCAGGCGGTCCGGGGTAGTTCTAGGACGTGGTAGGACCATGTCATGGTGGAGCTTCCTTTCTTTCCGTCTTTTTTAGGTTCCTTCTGTGGGCCTGGATGAAGTCCAGGGCTTGGACTTGAAGACGGACATTGGCACGGCTGAGGCACTTCAGCACCTGATGCTTTCGGTGCTCTGCTTGCACCACCACCTCTATGAGCGGCGGTACGACATGGATTTCGATGCCTGGAAGTCGCTTCAGCAGTCCACGGTAAACACCAGTGATGCGATTCCAGACGAGCTGCTCTACAAGATCTGGTGCATCGTGCGGAAGTCCCCCATTGCGCAGCTCAGTGTGCCGGGCTTGACGGGCGAGCGCTCGGTGAGCCTTGAGGGCAAGCTCGGGATCGAACAGATGCCGACGCCGGCGCAGGCCCAGACTCAGACACCACAAGTTCCATGGCTTGCGGGGTTTCCCAGCCTTCAGGGCTGGTTGAACATCAGCACCCCGGGACTTGATGGAGACGTGAAAGGGAGGCTTTGGGCCAGCGTTTGCCTTGGGCTGCTCTTCTTGTCGCTCTCACCGAGCGCTGCGGCCCCAGAAGCCTTTGTGAGCCTGTCGGGCGTTTTTCCGTCCTGGGAGGGTGAGGTCATCTTGCTGGAGAAGTGGCGGAGCTTTGATGGCAAGAGTGAAACTGCATCCCCTATGGACAGCTTTGTGACAGGTGCCCTCCTGAAACCCGACGGGAGTTGGAAGGAGTGCAGCTTCTGGAGAGTGGAGTTGGGCCTGATGCAGGCAGACGATCCGAAATTGTGGTTAAACTGGTTGGGTTCCATGGACAAGACCCGGAGCTGGGTGTAAACATCGCCCGGTGTGGAGTTTCATACGAGCCACTTTGTAGAAGAAACGGAGAAAGAGCGCCAAATTCGCCTCGGCAGAGCCGACAAAAGGACTTCTCGGCCTTAGCTTTGGTGTCTTGAGGATGGAGGATTGAGATACTGCGCACACCTGCTTTGCTTTTTAAGGGATCCCCACTTATAATTCGTGTTTATACCCTCTTCCGAATGCCAGGCGACGGCTGCAGGGACTGCCGCCGGCAGTCGAAGGAAGAGCCTGCGGCTGCGAGCGGCCTCGAAGGCGCTGCCCAGAGAGCTTTCTCTTCCGCTTCCCCCTGGGCGGTTTGGTGCTCTCCTCCGTGCCTTTAAGCAGGAGGCCTTCTCTGTGGCGGCAGAGGTCTTCGAAGAGGACGAGGTGCGGAAAACCGACAGAAAATCAGTCGCCTTAAATGCAGCTCTTCAGGGAACTTCCCGTGCCCACAGGTGGATGTCGCCATTATCGGCGCAGGCCCAGCAGGGACCTTGCTGGCCTACTTGCTCGCCGAGCAGTACGGGAAGCGCGCGACTCGCTGACTTGTCGCTATGTGACTTAAAAACCGGATCGAACAGGAATGCGCTCTTTGGGACCCTTGCAGGAAGGTGAATCTCATCGACCCGAAGGCCGACAAGAAGTGGCCCAACAACTACGGAGTTTGGCAGGCGACTGCACGTAGACTCTGTGGCCGCTGAGAAGCCGGTCATTCTCGAAACGAGTTCATTCCGGAGGCCGAATGGGAGGCCTTGGCTGAGAAGTTGGAGCTGGATCTGGGCAGCTGCCGGAGCCTCGAAACGAGAGCGGCGCGGAGCGGCCCTCTTAGCGAAGTGCTTTGGTCGAGGCTTGGGCAGCAAGTGGCAAGTGACGGACTGCTACTTCGGCGGCTCTTGGGAGGCACCCCGCTTTAAAGCTCCCCCGGAGAGCGTGGCTCTTTTGGAGCGTCTTTCTTCTTGCGAGATGCCGGATGAGAGCCAGCTGCGCCTCGACAGACCTTACGCTCGGGACTCGGGGCCTCCAGCGAAGCGACGCAGATCTCTCTGTGATTCTCTGCATTTTGTGAGGGCCGAGTTGACAGGGACAAGCTCAAGGCGCTGCTGCGAAGCAGTTTGGGTCTCGGCCGTCTCTTGTTAGAAGAAGCGGCAGGGCCTTCTTTTTCCCCAGGTTCGAAGGTGCAGGTGCTAGAGAAGGAGGTGGAGTGTCAGGCGCCGGGCGCTGGGTCCAGGGTCCTGAGCCCTGAGTCGAGTTGGCTGAGCGGAGGTGGTGGCCACCAACATCTATGACAGCCCTGCCATCCGACATACTTCAGCTGGCAACGGGCTGACACTTTGGCGACCTCACGACCTGAAGAGTATTCTTTTGATACTTCTGGCATTGCCTTATAAGGCTCCGTCATGTTGCTCTCCGACGGCTCTGCCGTGCGGACAAAGCCACCCGGGCAGCACCTCTAAACGCGCCGAGGGGGCCTCAAAGCATGTCTGAGCAGAGGCTCATTGTGGACACCACCGGCTTCGAGTCTCGCCTCACTCGGCGCCTTTCGGCCGCTGTCCGCTCCCCGAAAACGGATTTTAGGGTTTTTAGGGAGCCTCTTTTTGGGTGGGCAAGTGAGGCAAGTGCATTGTTTGCGAGAGCCAGGGTCTTTCAGATGGCATCTCAGGGAGAGCCGCCGGCTCCGGCACCCGGCTATCAGATCGCCTACGGCTGCGAGGTCGCCATGGCCTCGGCGGATGGTTTGCCGGGTGGGGGTGGGGGGGGAGGGCATTATTTGCCCGACTGCTTCAGGTGGTGGACGGTTCTTTCCACTACGCACCCGAGGCCATGACGCTGTTCGACTATCGTCAGGAACTCGGTCCTTGTCTCTTGCTCTTTGCACTTGACCTAACCTTCTCTGGATAGCCGCCAGGTACGGACCACCTCCGTTTCGATCCAGCTGCAACCTCAGTGGTCTCGGCCGCGGTCGGTGGCTGCTTGGCTGCCTGGCTTTCTTGCAGGAGTGGGAAAGCCGAGCAGAGAAGGAGCCAACCTTCATGTACGTCATGCCGCTTGGTCCGGTCAGAGCCTCAGATCTGTGCCCGATCGGAACAGTTCCACGCTGCTCTCTGCTAGGTAGAAGGCGAGCCTGGCGCCCAAAGAGTGCCGTGCCCAGTACTTCAGGGGCTTTCTCAAGCATCAGGTGGCTTAGCGTTGGTTCTTGGAGTTTTTGTTGGAAGTCGGGTAGGCACGCCTTTGCTTAAGGAAGCAGCGGTGTGCAGCGTGCATCCATCCGTGAGGTCTTCTTTGAAGAGACCTCCTTGGCCGCTTTCCCAGCCTAGCTTGCGGACCAGCTATCCGGGTAGCTCTCGAAATTAAGGTCCCTTTGAGGGTCCTTTCTATAAGGGTGCCGTACTAAATCGGGGATGGGGACCTAAAGAGGGACCCGAAATTAGAGAACTAGCCAGATGAGGTTCGAGCTATTTTTGCCGCTCTCTTCTGTTTTGTCTCAAGTGAGGTTGCCCGGCCGGCCGTGAGCTTCGAGGAGTGTAAGAGACGATGCTTCCAGAGACTCAAACATCTAGGCCGGGGGAGCCTTTTTGAGTTCGATACATGAAGAGCCTACTATATAGACTCACCTATAGCCTTGCCTTCCTTCCTTATCAGGTATCTCCTACCGGGAGAGCACCATCACCGACGAGGCCCCCCGGCGCGATGAAGCCTCTCTTTTTTTGGGGAGCAGCTTGATGAGTCTGGGAGCTTTGAGAGGAGTTCTGCTACATCCCCATGGGCGGCCCTCTTCCTGAGCAACTCGGCTGAGAGCTGTAGAATACCATTCGGGCTCCTGGCAACAGCTTCTTTGAAGGCCCGGGCAGCGCATCGTCGCCTTTGGAGCGGCTGCGGCCATGGTACATCCCTCCACAGGCGAATTCCCGCACTTCTCCTTCTCCCGCGCAAGGGAGCCTCCTGTGTCGATCAGCATGTCAATGTTCCGTATAGCAGGGGTTTTTAGAGCTTCTGCTGCTCCTGAGGTCCATGGTTTTCCGGTCTCAACTGTGTTGTGCCCTTGCGTGTTTTCTGAGCCGCGGCCGGTTCGGAGAGAGTAGACTCTTACGACTGCGCGGTGTCGCGCGCCCTGTGCGGTAGCCATGGCCGGGACGGTCCCGTCCTGAGCTGAAGCTCTTGGTCCTCCTGGCCCTTGCAGCCCTTGCAGCCCATGCCAGGAGGAGGCACAGCAAGGGCTGCTGAAGGACAAGAAAGAGGATCCGGAGTTGGGCCGTGCCCTCAGACTGCTTGCTGTGCGCGCCGGGATGACCTCGCCCAAGTCAGGCATGAAAATGGATACGAGCAAGGCGAAGGAAACTGCGGCTGACATCAAGGATGAGACGATAGACTTTGCGAAGAAGCTCAAACAAGACATCGGCACCACCTGGGAAGAGCCTCTTGGCTTCATAAAGGGTCCGCGAGCTCACCTCACCCCCCTGCCTGCGCTGCGGCTCGCCTTGAGGATGCGCTCGGCCAAGTTCACCATGGCCCTGGATTCGGAAGACGACACCTGGTGGAAGAAGCGACTCGGCCCGGCCTCGGCCCTGTAATTAAAAGCCCACGAAAGGAAGGGCCAAAGCACATAGTTAGTACCTAGCAATGCGCCGGCTGAGGGTTAGGTCCTATAGTTTCGCTCCCTTTTTTTGCAGTTGCTTCTTGTGTCCAACGGGCTGATGCTCAGGGGATTGAAGTGCTTCATGCGCCCTGGCTGCATTGTCGCTGCAAGAGGGGCATATGCTGCGATTGATGCACTTCTCGCCCCTGCACAGGACCTATCTGATGAAGCCGCTGATCATCATCTTGATGATTTACGTCTTCATCGCCCAGCAGCTCTACAAGGCAGGCAACGTACAGTCGCTGCCAGTTTCCAGCACTTCCTCCGTCTCCCGCTCTGTGTGCCGCTCTCTCTCTTTCTCTGCCTCGCTCTCCCTCTCTCTCTCGCTCTCTCTTTCTAGGATGCGCTCGGTTGCTGATTCATACCTGCCCCGGCACCCAAACGATCATAGTTACAGGCCGCTTCTGTTTCTGAGAATTCTGTGAAGCAAGCCTGTGACACAGGTCTACAAGATCCTGCCCATTCACTTTCTTGAGATGGTCTTCGGAGTGGGGCTCTGCTTCTTCGGAGGCACGGCTTCTCAGCATGTGATTAGCTGCAGGAATATAACAAGGCTTCTATTTGAAGTTTGAGTCGTGAAAGGAGGCAGGGGTCCTTTCCGATGCGCTTTGGAAGGTTGCGTGTTCGTTTGGCCTTCGGGGGGAGTACAGACTCAGATCCGATGCGGTCTTTAAATTTGGAAGTGCTGGAAGAAGCTAATCCCACTTTGTTCAGAATGCTCGCATAAGCTTCTTTTCTGGGTGGTGCTGCATCTTGACCAGATCTCCCTTCACCGTTCAGGCGTGTACTTCGCCTCGATCGCAGCCTTTGAAGCCTTCCGCAACTTTGGCGGCCAACTCCTGATCGACGTTCTCCTGCCGCATTTCGCGCACTGCGGTCCTGCGCCTGCGCCGTGGCTCTCGAATTCTCTCGAATTGAAGCTGCCAGGAGCTGTCCCTTTGCTGGGACCAGGCCAGGAGTCGAAAGGATGGCCGGTTGAAGCTGCAAGTGGTGGCCGTGTACGTCAGGCTCTCCTGGTCAAGGCGGTTCGGAGCCCTAGAATAGAACCAGTCAGTTGGGGGGTGGGGTCTCTTATAAGATATGCCTCTCTCTGGCATATTTCTCCTCTTTTTGCTTATAAGGCCAATGAGGAGGATGACAAGAAGGACCTCAACGAGGCGCCCGCGCCCCCCCCACGAAGCGGCCAAAAGCGCAGAGACCGTCGTCTCTCTCCGGACCCCGCAGAAACGGAAGGATGGCATCGCGGACGTTCAGCAGATGAGCTACAACGAGCTGATCAACCACAAGGCCTTGCCTTATAAATACGCTGCCCACATCTGCCGCGGTGTGGAACATTCCGGAAGCGAGTCACGGAGCGTTGAGCCCTTGAGGCCAAAATGGCGATGATGGCAGTTGAGAAGCCGGACCGGCTGATGAAGGTGTGCTCAGCAAGAGCAGACACCCCAATGTGCTCCACGTTGCTCCATGTGCGTTCCGCTGGGAGGCCACGCAGTATCTCTTCACCGCCTGGGTGTCCGTGAGATCCTCGAAGATCCCGGCTGGGCTCCCTCACGCGGATGTGCCCTTGAGGTCATTGCAACCTTGAAGTCGCAGCTGAGCCCCAAGATATCTCAGAGAGCAGAGGTAAGACTTAAGACAGCACACTTTTCCCGAAAGCCCCTTCTGAGGTTCGCGAAGACCGTGGCCATCGCCTTGGGCATCGCGGATCAGCTGGAGCTGCCCATGGTGCAGGTCTTCGGCCCCATGCTCGCCATGCTCCTGGGCAAGGCACCGCCAGCTGCGGGTTTCTGCTCAGCCGCTGCACGCACATGGCCTCGAGGACTTGACCCACTGGGTGGCACCCATCATCGGGACCACAGTGAAAGTGATTGCCGTGGTGGTCGCCTCTTACATTCAGGCCAGCAGCCCAAAGCCTCAAAGCTTCCTGTGACCATCAGAATCAACAGAAGAGCACGAACACAGCTGATACTGTAGCAGTCAGCGAGATCTTGAGCTCAATGAACCCGCACCTACGATGGCAATGGGGTGCAACGTAGGCCGAAAGAATGAGCGGACACAACGCCTAAATCTTGTAAATCCATGGTAGAAGCGCATTTCGAAGTGGCCCCCCCCCCCCCAGTCCCCCCGGATTCGCGCGACGGCTTTCGGCCTCTCGCAGGCCGTCATCAGCGCCTTCTACTCGGGCCTCCGAGGTGGCCGATTGTTTGGAGAAGCGCCGCCTGGACTCCGACAAGAAACGGGAGAAAGCGCGGGCAAAGGGCCTCTCTCCAGAGCAGCCATGTCGTCTTTATGTTTTTTGGAAGCCTCAGGTTCATGTATGGAGTGATGCCGTATGTGAGCCCGACGCTCGGAAACTGCGCGGAGAGCGGCCTTTCGCTGTCCCGTTTCTGCGTCTGTGTGTGTGTTTTCCTTGTCTCCACGCTTTTGCCAGGTCCCTGGCTCCCCGAGTGCTGCAACGTTCCCAAGGATTTCAACCCCGAAGAGCTGGAGACTCAGCTGGAGCTCTCTCTGCCCTCCGAGGGCTCGGTTTTTTTGCCCCGGAAGCTCCGAGCCTCTGAGTTCCTACATCGATGAGATCGTCGGCTTCCCCCTGGCTGCTGTCCTTCGGCTGAAATCTTCAGAATCTGCGCCGTGTTCTGCCGACTGTTTCTCTGGGTTAAGGCGGGCTTCTACTACCAGCTAACGAACGGCTTTGCTTTGGAGTTCCCCTGGAGCATGATCATGTTCCCATGCACCATGGTAGAGTGGATCATCCGGTGGCACGTCTACACCTGAGCCTGATTGGCTCAGCAAAGCCACGGCTGCAACGATCAGCCACACGATTTTTGAGCTCAAACTCGGCTCAAACCCTGACAGTCGCACCATCTCCGCCGTCAAAGCACCTCCTCTTTGCGAGTGCTGCGGCTGTGGGCAGAAAACTGATGCAAGCCCTTTTAAAACCTTGGACTGCTCCAAGAAACAAAACCCGGAAAGAAGAGAGCGCGCCGCTCCTGGGTGCATTTGGGGGGCCCTCCCTCTGTTGCTTGGGCTGCACCTGCAAGACCTGGGGAGGCTACCAGCTCTGTCGGATGATGTCCGCTTCGAAGGAGCCCAGAAGGCCCGATGACTCATGAAGCGGAGCTCATAAGCTCAAGGACGTTGCGGCTGCCATCGCCGGAGAGTTGAACAGCGGCTCCCCGCACGAGCCTTAGGTTTAGATAGGACGGAGTATAGCCATGCCCAAGTGCAGAAACGTCTCTTCTAGCTTCTTGGATCGCGGCCGCTGCAGGCCTCAGAGGAAAGAACAGCATGTTGCTGTTGCTAGACCCACGTTTCTAGTGCCCCCAGAGCTCCAGGAGTCCCTTATAAACCCTATATTTCCCCTGGAAGCTCAGAGGGTCAACGCGCGCCGCCGGGCCGGCCGTAAGTCGTTTCTTCGAGGCCGGATGCCGTGGCTGCGGCGGCATATGAGGCTATCTGGAGCCGGGGCCCTGGCGCAAAACTTGTCCCCATCATGGTGAGGCAAGTCAAACTCGGAGGGGTGCGGAATGTAGACCTTGTGTGACAGGATCTAGGCCAGTTTTTAGGCTGCCAGACTCCCCAAGTCTCGCCATCGAGGCCAGCAGAACCAGGGTCAGCGAGACTTTGCGGTCTTCGGCGGTGAGTTGCACGGCTGAGTGGTTTCAGCTGCTTGTAATTAAAGTGATCATGCCTGGGCCGGAGGTTTCTCATGGAGCTGGACGTGGCCGGCCTTCGGGGATGGTTTCAGGGCTTCTTCAACTTGCCGGAGGCCTGGGGGGGGGGGGGCCCGGCTGCGCCAGAGACTCTTCCCGGCATCTGCTGGCAGGAGCTGTGGGCGGGCTTTCTTGCTGGCTGGCCGCGTGCTGGGAAGTGCTGCGATGTCACGACCAACTCAAGAACTCAAAGCCCCAAAAGACGAAACAGCAGCATCCTCGACGTTGCTTCCATTCTGCAGAGGCCGTCGTTGCCTGGCAATGCGAACCACGAGCCCGAATCCTAGTGTCCTAGTAGGCCTGGCTTGCACTTCCTACCTGATGCCCATAGAAGCCCTGCCCAAGCTCCTGTCTGATTTGCAATCGCCTTGCTTGAGGTCACGGCGTGCGATGGTAGTCAGTTGTTAAGACATCTATGCGGTCAGGACTCGAAAGGCATTCAAAAATCGACCTGTATTTTCGTTCCCACTCGTTGAGACTGAAGACATGCCCAGCTCCTGTCTACCCAGGGGCGCAGTTTCGGAGGTCGAGTTTTTTTTTGCCGCCTCGGTCCACCTTCATCCTGTTAGGATAAGTCGGAACTCTAGACTCTAGACGACGGACAACTTGCGACCTCGACCACTTGCTTTTCATTACTCCCCGACTTCAGGAATCGTATAAAGGTTCATCTTCCGCATGTTGCGGCTTGCATTGTCAGGTCTTGGCTTCCCCGCCTATTGCCTGCCACCGAGCTTGAAGCAGGGACGAAGTCTCGGCACAAGTTGTCATTGGGCATCAGGTTTGGTCTTCAACTCGTCACTAAGATCCCCTTGCCAGTGGCAAGAGCCCAAGTGTGCACGACCAGCTGGAAACGAGACTCGAACTCTTCGCAGCCTGCCACGGCCGATTCAGCAGCCCAGGCACTGAAACTGGTCGGCGGCATTGCACGCTTTTCGCTGACCTACGGCGCGCATGGATCATTCGAGAGGGAAGCTCATGTTTCTCCCAACCACCTTTCAGGTACAACGCTGCTCCGCTCCGTGACACCCCTCTTCGGCTCCCCACCAAGTTACGCTGGCAGCCCAAGAGTCAGGGGTACTTGGGTGTGTGTGTTTGTTTTTCGTCCGGGGCGCAGTTCGTCGGGCAGGCATGGACCCCGCCGGTGCCGAAAGAAGAGGCGCATTGTCGGGGCATCATGGTCAATCCTTCAGTGCGGCATTTTCCTTGCCAGTCACAGGTGGGCGATGTGCCTGCAAAGTTGGAGGCCCTGCGAATGATGAAGGCCGGCTATCGGCAGAAGTAAATACCGAAATATCTCCCTAACCCCTAAGCCCTTTAAACCCTAAACCCCTATAAACCCGAAGTCCCTAAACCTCCTCTCTCCTCTTCAGTGCCGCCGATTTTTCGGCCATCCTCTGCTCGGAGTCTGAGGAGTCGCATGGGAAGGAGACGGAGCCCAAAGGCGCGGCTCCGAGGCGGCAAGAGAAGACCCTCAGCTAGAGGGCCCTAGGGCCTCTGGGCCCTGAATAAGGGCCCCAGCTTCCGATTTTCCGATTCTCCCCGAGCTGCTGCACAAAAAGTGATCCGAGCTCAGGGAAGTCAGGGAAGACCACCAAGCTTGGCTGCACCGCCGCTGTATGAGTCGCGAATGCGCGTCGCGCAGCGCAGGACTGGACCGTGTCGACAACGCGAATGCAGGCGACGTGCACTCGTATTTGCGGCTTTGGCTCTGTGGCCGCTTGTCCGTCGCGGCCTGGGCCCAGGTGGAGATCAGCCACTTGCAAGCTGGAGCCCCGTTTTTGCTCGCAAAAAAACGAGCACTGCACGGCTCTCAGCCCCAAGCTCAGGTGCTTCAAGGAGATGAGATCCACCAGCTGGTGCAATACTTGGATCACGAAGGCTTGCGCTTCCTTCGAAGGAGACCGAGGCTGGTGATGTGATGTGGCCAGGATCGGGCAGGGTGTCCTACCAGAGCTTCCGCACGATGGTCGTGCGCTTCTTGGCAACCAGGCAGAGAGACGAGGAAGCCGAAGCCCCCCCCGTTTTTAATTCTTGAGCTCCATCATGTCATCCAGCTTGTGGTTGAATTATCAAGAGCCAACTCGACCACGCGTCGCTCTGAGCAGTCTCAGATTCTGCAGATGCCCTGTGTCAGTCGGGACTTCCACTACGCTTTGTCCCCGGAAGAGTTCAACGCCATCATGTTCAGGATCGAGGCAGGCTCTCAACGCTTAGCAGTACAGCATGCACAGTCTGTGCACGCGTTGCGCGTTGCGCTGCCGTGCTGACGCACAGTCCCGGCTGGCATCCAACGGGACAACCATCGGGCAGGCATGATCTTTGCACATCCAGCCTTTCACTCTCAAGTTCGGAGAGAAGACTGAAAAGGCCCTTGCAGAGCTGGACTCCAGCAATTCGGGTGCTCTGTCCGACACGGAATTCATGCAAAGCGCAGCCCATAGCACGAGCTGCTTGTCCATGTTCGTCCTGTGCCCCTCTGACTAGCAGTGACTAAAGCCTACGTATATAGGCCTACAGCTCCGGATGGCCTAGGTCTGCGCTTGCTGCGCCTGGGCCTCTCCAACAAGGAGGTGGCGCAGGCAAGCCTCTCTGGCAGACCTCGCATTTTGGACACAACAGCTCCGGCTTCAGGTGTTCAACTCCCTGAGCGCCAACTCTTTCAAGGCCGCAGGTGCTTTCACCAGCACTCTTTCTCGGCGTGTGCGTCACCTTGTACTAGATTCCTAGAAGATCTCCACAGGCACCTCCGAGCTACCGAATCCTTTGATGAGGGGTCAGGCGCGCCGGCTTCCGTTTTGGAAGAGCTCAGCCTCGCGTCTTTTCTGGTGACCGTCGCTGGCACAATGCAAGAAGTGAGCTGAAGGGACCGGGATCGGTTGGAGTCAAGTTGGTCGGGTTGTGTGCTGCTAACCAGTAACCTTTCATGTCGTCGCGCTGCGCTAAGACAAACGACAGAGTGTGGGAACGCTGCCCTGGATAATTCCTTTGGGAAGCAGTGCATCGAGCGAAGGTGTCCATAGACCTCTTCGCATCCCTGGTGGCCAGAAGCAGCAAGGACAGCCGCCTGAAGGACAGGGTGGAAAGGGTTCACTACACTACAGCACTGGTAGGAAGCTGGGCAAGATGTGTAGTATCGCTTCCGTGACCTCCGTGCCACAGCTTCACAGCTACGGCAGCTGTAAAGGAATGGGCAACCGGCACCTTCAGTAAAATTCGCGAGGCCGAGGAACTCAAGCACATGCAGGTGCAACTCTTTAATTTCCACGACCTTATCCAGAAAGGTCCCGCCACCATCGGTGCAACACTCGGCCGCCTCATGCTCTTCGTCTTGGTTGCGGTTCTTGAGGCGGTCCTCGACGCACAGCGTATTGAGTACCGTGCCCTTCGGGCCATGTCCTATGTCCCGCTCCGTCTTCGCCAGGCACTACGCCGATCCACCGGTGCGGCAGTTCTTGGCCCGCCGACCCCGGGGGTGTTTGTTGCAATGCAAGTTTGCCCCTTTGTTACGTTGCGGACCAGGGACGACCAAGCCGTTTGCTCAGCAATTGACACAGAGCCTTAGCCGCATGAGGCACGGCACACATGCATACATACATACGTACATACATACGTACATACAATGACATACATACATACACATACATGCATGCATGCATGCATGCATACATACATACACACACACACATATTATATATATATATATGTAGGGCATATGTGTATATGCACTGCATATGCAATTAATTATATACATAGAACGTGTGGGTGTGTGTGTGTGTGCAGTATCCAGAAAGCATCTTGCGTCCTTGCTGTTCATGGCTGAAGCGCGCCGCGCGATCCACCAACCCTGGCACACGGCATTCACTGGCGCCAATGCCCAGCCTGCGAGCACTCTGGCTCTGACCATGATCCCTCGTTCTGCTTGCGGACGGCCGATCTCTTGAGCAGGACCTGGGCCTTGGCTTCGTGCGAAGCCTGGGCTGGCTTTCCGTTTTCCTGCTGCTCGGCGAGGCGGCCCGCCGTGCTTACCGGATCCGGCTCTACGCCATCCAGGCCATGAGAGCTATGAAGGGGCTGTCCTACTCTTGGCTCACTGTGAGACCGTGAGACCGTTGCGTAGGAGTATGGCCCGGTAATTCATGAATTCGACCCTTGGTTCAACTACCGCGCGGCGGAATACTTGGCAACTCACGGCTGGAAGAAGTGCCTCGGCCCTGCCGTGACTTTGGGGTTATTGCGATGTGCCACGATCAGAGGTTGTTAGCCACATGCTCTCGTAACAGTGATACTTGTAGGTTCTTCACGTGGTTCGACCACCAGTCTTGGTATCCACTGGGCCGCCCTGTGGCAACGAGCCCTGTCTGAAGTGTCTACAATGATCTCAGCAGCTCGGCATGTGTCTTTTTGCTGCAGGACGATCTATCCCGGCATGCAGATAACAGCCGTCGCCTTGTGGCAGATGCTGCGACAGTGGGAACCTTCCTGGACTCTCAACCTGGTTTGCTGCTACATGCCGGCATGGCTGCTTGTCCAGCACAGCAGAGGTAGAAAAAAATGGGGGGCGAAGATCCGCGGCTCGCATCTTTTTTTTGTGCCCTTTCTTGGGAGGTTGGGGGCCGTTTCGAGCATCTTCTCCGGGCTTCTGGCCTCGGAGTGCCTTGGGGGCCTTGGGGCCCAGGGCGGTGCGGGTGCCGGCGCCGCGGCCGTGCTGTCGAGCTTGGTCATGGCCCTGCTCCCCGCTCACCTCTCGAGGTCCGTCGGAGGAGGCGCCAGGGGCCCTTTGCGAAAAAAGGGGCGCCCCCCCTGGAGGGGTCGCTCCGTCGCGGTTTTGCTCTTGCTGCTCTGAGGCTTTGACAACGAGTCCGTCGCAGTGCCCGCGATGTGTGCGACCTTCTTCTTCTGGTGCAGAGCTCTCCGGTCAAAGAGCTCCTGGCCCATCGCGGCCATGGCAGGGCACCTGCCTGAGAGGGTTTGTCCGAGTTCGCTTCCTGCACAGCACCAAGTCCTGGCTCAGGCTCGCCTACGCCTACATGGCAGCGTCCTGGGGCGGCTACATCCTCGTACTGACTTTCAGCTCATTTGATGCTTAAGAGCGGATGACAGCGAAATGGTGTGTCGTGTCCCCTGGTGCCCGCCTCCAGGAACATGGTCGGCCTGCACGCAGGTCTCTTGATGCTGCTGGGTTCGGAAGGTGAGCTCTATGCCGTGGGGTCCCCAGATGCCCTTTCTGCTTTAAAGCTGGGCCCCCATCCCCATCATGATCAGCATGATCTTGGGGTGGCTCGGAAGGCTTACACCCTCTTCTTCACTGTGGGGACGGCGCTGGCCATCCAGGCAGCTCGCTTGGGCCCCGCAGGGGGAAATAGGTGGCTCCCCCCTTTCAGCGGATCCACCCGTGTGCTGGAGGTGCCGGTGGTGTCCTGGGCTCCACTTCGCTCTGCAGAGCAGCTTGGGCCACTGGTGCTGTTCTTTGCCTTGCAGCTCCGAAAGGCCTCAACACTCGAGGGTGCAGAGGCTACGCACATGACAAGTTCAGTATAGCTACAGTATCTGCACGTGGTATGTTACACACGCCACGGGTCAGCAGCAAGATTCACCAACTTTCCTTCCCGCGGCTCACCAGATCTTCAAGTCCTTGTCCTAGCTTTCAGAGGCTTTCCAGCTCTTCTCCAAGAACTCTGCTCGTGAGCTCGGGCTCCTGGCGATCTTCGTCCTGGTTGTTGCCCTCCTCATCCCCTCAGGCGGGAGGGAGGGAGGGAGGGAGGGAGGGAGAGGGGGGAGGACGCCATGTTCGCCGAGAAGACCGATCGAGGCAAACTTGTGGGGGCAACAAAGGGCACAGATCGAGCGGGGCATGCGCTGAGAGGCCATGAGCAGTAAGAAAACCGCGCCGAAAAGGCGCTGAACAGTTGCCAGGAACAGCGCAAATTACCTTACAGGTGTAGTCGGATCGGGGGAATACGGGGATCAGTCGTTGTGCACTTCATCTTTACATGGTTTTGCTAGTTTGTTGTGTCTGTGAAGCCTTTCCCCTCTGATCTCGTATGACAAACCGGCCACACAAGTGGCTATGCACTTGACACACAGGGAGGGGAGTCAAAGCTTCCCTCGTTAAGCACCCGCGGCAAGCAAGTCCTGCAGAAAGAAATAGAAAGAGAGAACAGGAGATACGGAGAGAGAGAGAGAGAGCAGGACTCCAAGCCTGCAGGAGAGAACGAGCGAGAGAGACAGGCCTCTCAGAAAAAAATTGCGTCATCTAAACAAGGTATCCATGTGCGTGCTTTCTGTGTGTTTTTTGCTCAGGATTTATCGGCCCCTTCTCGGTGAGGGTCCGGGCCCTCTTTGTGAAACACACGAAAACCGGGAACCCCTTGGTGGACTCCGTGGCCGAGCATCAACCAGGTAGCCCCGACGCCTTCCTGAGATATCTCGGCCTCGTCTCCTATGTGGCGCCCTTGGGAGTTCCGGCCCTCCTCCTGGGACCCCGCAAGGATGTGGCCCTCTTCTTGCTGACGCTCGGCGCCGTAAGCCTTTTCTTCTCCCTGCGCATGCGGCGCCTGGCGACTGGGATCTGGGAGGAGTTCTTTTTTTTGTTGTGTTTTTTTTTTACGGATCCAACTCAGTAATTATAGGACCCAAATCATATATGTCTTACTGAGGTGATTCTGATGGCTTTGCCCGCCTCGGCCCTCACAGGCTGCGCTCTGGGCCTCGCCTTCGAGCAATTGCTGGCCCGGCCCTTTTTGGGACCCGAGAAAGCGGGCTCCGGAAAGCTCTGGAACCGCGGAGCTCTGCGCGTGCTTCGGCTTTGCGGTGGTTCCGTGCTCGGTTATCACCTCTGGCCAAAGGCCCAAGAGTTCCTCGAGTTCTGCGAGGACAAGGCTCGCTGGTCCCTGTCGCACCCCACGATCGTCACCAAGGCCCGGAATGGGCAAATCATCGATGACTACCGAGAAGCCTACAACTGGCTCAAGGAGAACACGCCGGAAGATGCTCGGGTGATGGCCTGGTGGGACTACGGCTACCAAATTGCTGGGATCGCCAACAGAACGACCATAGCTGATGGAAACACCTGGAACCACGAACACATCGCCCTGCTGGGCTTGTGCCTTTCTTCTCCAGTGCCTGAGGCCCATGCCATCGCCCGGCATTTAGCCGACTACGCCCTGGTTTGGGCCGGGGGTGGTGGGAAGGATGATGTAGGTAAGTCCAAACACATGGCCCGCATCGCCAACTCCGTCTACAAGGGTCATTGTGCCGAGGAGGATTGCGACGCCTACGGTATCTTCCCGGACGGCCCGGCCGAGCAAGATGATGAAAGCCTCCTTGGTCTACGGCCTTTGTGGCCGAACTGAACTGGACTCCAAGCTCTTCGAGGAGGTCTACTTCAGCAAGAACCGGCGCGTTCGCATTCTGAAGGTGCACCAGGTAGCCCTGGAGTCCCGCGCCTGGGCCGCAGACCCCAAACACCGCCTCTGCGATGCGCCGGGGAGCTGGTACTGTCCGGGCACCTACCCTCCCGGTCTCGAGGCCAGGGCTTAGGGAAGCCGAGATCCAACAACCTATAGGCCGCGAGGAGCATATATAACACAGAGTCAAACATTGGGGGCACATGGAAGAGGGCGAGGGTCAAACTCAAAGAAAGTCAAGCTCGTCACAGGAGAATTGTGGGTGCCCGTCCCCTTGCATGCCCCACCCTCGGACTCGGCCCTTGCCTTTTGCAAGCTGAGTTCACGTTGGCGTTGCCGCGTTGCTCCCGTTTCCTCTGGGCTTCTTTTGGGAGGCTCTCTTCAAGAAGGCCTCTGGGAGCTCGGAGGCGGCCCAATACCAAGCGGCCTACGAGGCGCGCGTGCAGGAGCAGCTCCTGGAAAGGCCGCTGCCCAACGGAGAAGGTTTCTGAGCAAGCAGCCTGCGTTGCCACGCAAACAGGCCTATAACTATAGATAGGATGTGATGATAAACCACTTAATACGTGCTGAATAATGACTATGGTTGAGGGCAGAAGGAGCCAGAACCCAGGATTGCCAGAGGGAAGCTTCTTGGACTCCTGCCGTGGCTGTCGCATCACAGAGAGGGGACTCCTCACCTGCAGTCACTGCCGCCAACCCGGATCGCCCTCCGCAAGCTCGTCTCTGGACTTGGCCAGGTGCTGGATTCCGCAGGTCAACAACATCCACGGCCAGTTGCAGTGTGAGCCGAAGCCCAACGATGTGGGCATTCCGCCTGGTGGATATCAGCAGTCCTGCAAAGGCTGTGCGCTGAGCAACGGGCTGCTGGAATGCAGCCACTGCTCCACGGCATCAGGAAAGCAGGTGCCCTCGGCCTTTCCGCTGGAGGCCTGCCCTGCACCGGCATCTCTGGACAACGACAATGGAAAGCTGGCCTGCCAGGGCCTCCCCAACGAGTTTGGCATCCCCGAAGGGCCCTACTTAAAGTCCTGCCAGGGCTGCCAAGTCCAAAAAGCTGAGCTCAGCTGCAAGCTCTGCCGCCGAGCCGATGGGCAGCAGGTCGCGGCTGCCTTTTCCGACGTGGCCCGATGCCCCTTCCCGGCGAAGCTCGACAACCAGGACGGTCGCCTGCAGTGCATCGCAGCGAAAAAGGGCGACCGAATCATCCTTGAGCTGTGCATTTTCGGGATGTCGTGTGTGACACTGTGCTTCTCTGCAAAAGATCTAAAGCTACGTATTATGCCTTTGGTTTGCTGCGCAGAACTTCGGGGCCTTCTCCACGCTGCTCGCGGCCGTGGACTCCTCAATGACGCCCGAGGCCCAGAGCTGCTGCGGGGTTTCTGTACACGACCTCCTGCCGCTGCCTCTCGGCCGAGGTCGCCGGACATTAGCCGACTCTGGCGAGAAGCTTAGCGAGTCGAAGCCAACAAAGGGCCCCAAGAGCGACTAAGAAACTGCAAGAGGTGCGTCCTGGAAAAGGATGATCAAGCGGCGCAAAGCCAAGAAGAAGCAACAGATTTGACAATGTACATATGACGGTGAGACCCTTGTGTGACGCAGCATCCGCCTCTCCTCAGGATGAGCCCCTGGTGCGCATCGAGGTCTCGGTCTGAGGCTCTCAGCGCCAGAGCCACCCCCCTGTTCCCAGACTTCCAGGAGCTGCTTCGTTGGATGGGAGCCGCCTAGGCTCCTAAAGGGCTCCTAGAGGGCTTGCGGCTGAGTGTAGCGGTGTGAAGATAACAGACGTCTTCGTACTGTATGATGCAGGCATCACGGATTCCGAGAGTCTGCCCCCCTTGCTTTGGCTGAGCGAAGCACGCCGGGCCAAGCGATAACGAACCTCGAGTGTCCCAAAGCTGGACTTAAACTGATTGCAAGAGCAGCCTGCCGGAAACTGACGCGACCACGGGGCACTCTTGAAGGTTGTTCAGCGAAGCTTGGATGTTCAGTTGAGGCTTTGAAAGAATCAGTCAGGCTTTTGCGACCTCAGTACAGCGTTTGTACTCGGTTGTCCTGAAGCCCTTGTCGCATTGTACAGTTAGACTAGTGCTTGCGAAGTATCGTTCCCAAACTACCATTTGCCAGTGCGGGGGTGGTGCGCGAAAGCGGTGGGAAAGGCGGCGCGAAAGATCATGAATATGGAGAGCATTCTCGTATGTGACTCGAAACAGAAATGAGACAAGAGCACATGAACGATCTGGAGTTCCAACAATGCAACACGCGTATAAGATTACGCGAAAGGTGCGTGAAAGACTGTGTTTGGAGGCCGATGGCCCTTCTGCCTTTCACCGCCATGTCCTTGGGTCTGTTTTGTCCTCCCTAACGAGACCCAGGCATCCCCGGTGCAATCAGCTCCGGAGACTGGATGAAATTGAAGAGTGTGTGTGCTTCCGTATATAACGCATGCATACTTCCGTACTGGAAGCATGTGAGGCAGCCAAACAGGAAAAGGTGTAGTTCGTATCGCGCTCGGAAGGCACGAAAGCGTTGCGAAAGAGGGGTTTCCACGTGAAAGACTGCCGGATAGCTCCCATCTCCTCTCTGTTGTGTTCTTCTTGTGCGCAGCACGTGTATCGGCCAGCCAAAGAGATGCATGACGCACAATCTTATAGATCAGTACATGATTCAGCAACTGGCCCTTGATTCAGCAACTGCGCTTCAGAAACCATGCCCGCTTCAGTAACTGCGCTTCAGCAACTGCCGCGATTGAGCACCTGCGCTTCAGCAACTGCCTCAACTGCGCTTCAGAAACTGGCCCAGCGGCTCAACGACTGCGCTTGAGCAACTACCTAATGACGCTCATTGTCTACTGCGATTTGGGACCAGGGCATCCATGTCCAAAACCTAATGACGTCCATGGTCTAGGGCGATTTGGGACCAAAGCATCCATGTCCAACACCTAATGTCGTCTAGTGCGATGTGGGACCAGAGCANNATGTCCAAAACCTAATGACGTCCGTGAGCCGATCTGGTTCCTGCATCTGCCGTTCTGGTTTCTGAACCCACGTGTAGTTTCCGACTCAGTCCATTGAGTTGCCGAATCAGCCGTTCCAGTTGCCGAATTCAGTCGTTCCAGTTTCTGAATCACGGCTGGTTTCTGAATCATCTGAATCAGCCGCTCTGGGTACTAAATCAGTCGTTCTGGTTGCCGGAATTTTCCGCCAACTCACAGTATCGGGAGCAATGTGTGCTGCAAACGTTAAACCTAAACCCTAAAAATAAATCCTAAACCCCTGAACCCCTAAACCTTATAAACCCTAAGCCAAGATGGCGCAGTTGCGTGCCTTCGTGTCTGGGTCGGCTCAAGCTTGACACTTGCAGAGGCTCTCAAAAGTGCGTGTGGCACTCATTGGTCCACAAGTTCTTGTGTTGCATGGGCTGTTTCGGATTTCCGGCGCATTTCCACAGAGCGAAGGTCACAGCTTGAGCAGCGACGGGCTGCGCAGCGCCCTGAGATGACTTGGTTCGCCTGGTCCTTGTGAGGATTGACAGGAAGAGCTCGGCAGCCACAGTGGGCTCAAGACAACTCGGCTACTGTAGCGTGCCGAGGCAGCAACAGCAGCCAAGCAGCAAAGTCTGAGCTGTCAGGCCATGGAAGGATGTGAGATATCCTTGATCCCGCGTTGGGGCCTGCATGCTTCGACATGTCGTCTTCACTGGTTGCTTTCACCCTCCCTGTGGCTGCAGCCCGACATGTTGCTTCGAACGGCATATTCAGGCATATTCGTTGCAAGTATACTCAGACTAGCTGCACTGAAGGAACCGAAAAAGCAGGAAACCATTCCGACTCGGCTGCCCAGGACACCGTCGCCAAAAAGTCCAAGCCGGTCCGAGTCAATACAGTTTGGCGGCTACTGCGGAGGCTGCAGCAACGGCGCTGCGACGTGACTCCGGCAGAGGCTCAGCAGGCAGCCCGGTGTTCGCGGGCCTTGCTCTTACATTGCCACGCCCGGCTGCATTTCGTTTCAGCTGCTGTGCTGCAGGTACTCGCATCCTTCCAGAAGTCCCAGCAATGGCAACATGCGATACATGTCCTCCGTTCCCTTCAGTGTGCAGACAGCATCAACTACGGTGCCGTCCTCAATGCTTGTGCCAGATGCAGCAGATGGGTTGCTGCGTCGGCCCTGGCTTTGAACTTGAAGCAGCTGGGACTGGAAGCGAATGCGATCCTGGAGAACACGCTGATCGACAGCTTTGCACCACTCTCTGCTTGGGAGAGGCCGCTAGCGAAACTCATGGCGATGCGGCAGCAAGGAATTTGCTACAATCGTGCAAGCTTTGGGTCTGCATTTGCCGGCTCCTCTTGGCAGCAGGTGATGGCGATGCTGAGACTCGCGACAGGACTCGACCTGCGGCCAGATGTGATCACTTTGGGTTCAGCTTTGAACTCGCTTTCCGAGAGCTGGACAATGTGCCTACGCTTCCTCCTGCGCATGAGAAGTTCCGCCTCCCGACCCAACAATGTATGCCTCACATCTGCGATGGGCTCCTGTGAAAACTGGCAGCGTGCGCTGGCGATAAGCCGCCTGTCTGCTTTTTGGTGCCGGCTCTGTCAGGACATGTCTGCAAGTTGTTTCCGTTGGATTTGGGATGCTTGTCCGGAGACAGTTTACTGACTTCAGGGGTTCTTGGTATTTTGAGAGGGACGCCGGGGGGGGGAGGGGGTGGCCAATGAAGGATTCCATGATTCCTCAGCTCGCCCCCCTTGTCTCCTTCCGTTTACTGTAGGGCAGGGTGGCTGACTATGGCAATCTGTCAGCCGGTCAGGTTCCCGCCACAGAGATGGACTGGACGACGTTGGCTTAAGTTCTTTAATTCTGGCGTGCCAAGCCGCGTGGCAGACGGGGGTTCAACTTCTGGTGGATGCAGGCAAGTGTCCGCGAAACAAGCATTGGGACGAGGGCGCGCCTTTGGGGGGATGCTTGCAGGCTTGCTCCCGGCAAAGGCAGTGGGAGACTTCGCAGCAGTTGCTGTCAGTCATGCAGCACTTCTCGCTGCGCAAGGATCTCTCTGCCTACGCTGCTGCTTTGCCGGTCGCCCTCACGTCCGTCTGGTCTGCAGTCGTGCAGGCTGTGCAAGATGCCAGAAGCTCCTTTGCCTGCAGCGCAGAAAGATTTTCTTCATGGTGGTCTGCGTTTTAAACCAATTGGAGCCTCAATCGTCCTCCAAAAATATGGAGCGAGTTAAGTGGCTTGGCCGACCAGCGCAGCGCACCCGCGATCAACGCGAGTAAGTGCCAGAGTAAGGCAGCGGCTTCTCGTCAGAGCGCTTGGGCAGCTGGTCTTCCATACTGGTGGCTTTCCGAGACCTGGGCGCCGAAGGATCCTGGAGCATAGCCCTCTCGAGCATTGACGCATTGAATCGGGGGATGTTGCCCTCGGATTGCAGAAGGAGTCTTGCCCAAGGCCTCTGCGAGCAAAGTTGCTGGTCGCTTGCCCTGGCCCTGGCGACTGCCGCTCCCGGCGCTCCCGGCATTCCGAGCCTGTGCAACGCTGCTTTGTCTGCCTGTGGAGCCGGTGGAAACTACGAAGTGGGCCGGAGCTTGCTGGAGCAAATCGTCGGGACGAGCTCCAGCTCGGAGAGCCTCACCGTCAGCTTCAACCTCCTCTTGAAGATCTGCGAAAGAGAGCTCTGGCGGGAGGCCTTGGACCTCCTCTCAGAGATGTCCTCCTTGCAGCTCAGGAAGACAGAAGCGACTTGGACGGCGGCCACTGGCGCTTTCCAAGGCGACCACTGGCCCTGGGCCTTGCAAGCCTTGCAAGCCTTGCAGGCCTTGTGGTTTTCAGGGGAGCTAGCAGAGTCAATCCCCGTCCGAACGGCCGTGATCCAGGCCTTGGGAACCGGCGCGCAGTGGCAATGGGCTCTGCTTCAGCTCTCTGAAATGCCAAGTCCTGACCTGAAGGCCTACGGTGCTGCACTGACAGCCTGCGAGAGAGGCTGCGAATGGCAGAGGGCTCTCCTTCTCTTCCAGTTGGCTCAGAAGCTGCACTCGGCCGACCTCCTCCTCTTCAATGCCGCCATCAGCGCCACGGATAAAGCGGGAAACTGGAGACTGGCTCTGGCGCTGATGACGGAAGTCGAGGCAGCGCTAGAGCCTGATGAGATCACGCTAAGTGCTGTGATCAGTGCCTGCTCCAGAGCGGCCCGGTGGCAGTGGGCGCTGGCGTTTCTGGCATCGCTTCCCTCAAGAAGTATACCAGCTAGTTCTATCGCCTTCAACTCTGCGATCAGTGCATGCGAGAGGGGCTCTCAGTGGATCCGGGCTCTGGTACTGCTTGAGGACATGCTCAGGGAAAGCCTGCCGGTCGACGAAATCACCTTCAATTCAGCGATCAGTGCATGCGAAAAGGGAGAGCTGAGAACCTAGCGACAGCTGCGCGCTGGCCGCTCAGCGCTAAGTCTAAATGGCCTGGGGAGAAAAAGACACCCTTGCCGCCTCGGAGCCAGTCTCGGACTCTTCTAAGCGACTGCAGTGGAGAGACATCCTCTGCAAGCAAGACGGCTTAGCGGCTCACCGGAGTCTGAGCTAAGGTCGAGCCTGCGAAGATGTCCAGGCGGTCCAATATAAGGCCTTAATGAGAGCATTCGAGACGGCATTTGCTGGCCAGGTGCTTGTTGGCGTAACATGCTCCCTGCGGATGGAGAATCTGTCGAGGACTTAGATGTTATTTTTTTGCACAGAAATGCAGCTTCGAATCACGCAAGATCACGTACGGATTCTTTCTGTGTACATCAGTTTGGTCTGTCGGTCGCATCAAGCGATTCAGGATGTCTATGTTTGGGGCGGAGAATCTGGATCCGGCCAGCATTAACGCGCAGCAGGTGATCATCCGCGAAATCTTCAGGCTACACGCCTGCGACGAGACATGCGATGCGGATCCGCATGCTCTCAGTCACCATGTTCAGGTCTGCGGAGGGGGAAAGAGCCCTCACACTCGGCCACGTGCTGAAGGTGCGTGCAGAACTGCGGTATTAGTGAGCTTAGGTTGCACCTTTCTCTGCTAGACGCCGATCTTCTTCAGGTCTACGACACCACGATTGCCAAGCACGGAATCTGCGCCGCCTGCTTGGTGAGTGTTGCCTGCCGTGTGGCTTGAGTCGCTTCCTCGTCACCCTTCGCCCTTTCTATCGGGGCTCCAGCCTCAGCCTAGAACAGTCCTGCACGGGACTGAGTTTGGAGAGAAAGTCGGCAACAGGCGATGTTTTATTCAGCAACATCTCCCGGAACCGGAGAGCGATGTCAGTAGAGTGCTGTTAGCAGAGTCCGGCTCCCATGGACTGCCGGGCACTGGCTGGTGAAGCATGGTGCCGAAGGACAAGCGCTTTCTTGATGTTGAGGCCCGCGATTCTGCAAAACCTGAACTTATATTATAGCGCCTAAAATTTACAGCGTCGTATACTTTTTCTCAGGGACGGATATATCTTGCTTCCAGGGCCCCCCTGTAGTTCAACCATCAGAATTACTCGGCCTGCATGTTCTTCTCATGATGCAGGGAGGTGCTCTCTCTGCATGCCTTTGCACCCGCAGGGCGCTGGCGACAGCATGTGGCGACACCCGAAGCACGCAACTGTCTACCTCAAGGATCACGCCAAGACCGCCAGTGTCAAATCTACCACCGAAGCCGCTCAGCCAAAGGATCGAGACTCGAGATCCACACACAACCTGTCTGCAAGCAAGTTAAGAGCAAATAAGAGCTGCAGGTCCTGGGGAAGATGACACCTGTCTGCATGAAGCTCCGTGCTGACTGTGATCTCCTTTATCTCAATGTTCACACGCAAGACAACCTGCTGTCGAAGGCGCCGGCAGCAGCTGGAAGTGTGCGGAGCTCAGAGAAGGACTGCAAAGAGAGGTCAGAAGCGCCCGACGCGGCGGAGCGGCCGAGGAATGTGATGCACTTCAATGCAGCCATGTCCGCACGCAACGGGCGCCGCAAGGGCAAGCGGGATTCGGACGCCTCTGCTGATTGGGCTGCAGCGGTGCAACTCTTTGATCGCATGCAGCAGGAAGATGTGCTTCCAAGTCTCATCAGCTTCAACCAGCTCATCTCCTGGCTCTCCGAGAGATGGCAGAGAGCCCTAAGAGCGCTGGTTGATGCGCCGGAGGCCAGAAGAAGCAGGAGCAGCTTGAATGCCGCGATGTCTGCCTGTGCTCGCGGGCGTCTTTGGACTTCGGCCTTGCAGTTCTTCCTGTCTGCGCGGGAGCCCCCAGACCAAGTGAGCCTCGGAGCGGCGATCTTGGCCTGCGAGGAGCAGTGGCAGATGGCCGCCGCGCTGCTTCTTCTACCGGACCTACCGACGCATCGAGGGCTTTATCCAGATGTCATAGCCTGCACTTCTCTGATTCGTGCCTGTGGAAGTTGTGAACAGTGGCAGATGGCTCTGGCAGTCCTGGCTGAGATGGATGGGAAGGTGAGGCCCAATGAATTCACCTTTGGCGCCGTGATCACTGCTTGTGCAAATGGGAGTCAGTGGTCCACCGCATTACACATGCTGAGTGCCCTGATGGAGCAGAGACTCCTCGTGAACGAAATCATCTGCAGCGCGGCCATCAGCGCCTGCAGCAAAGCCGGCTGCTTGGCGAAAACTGTGTTACAGTAGTCTCATGGTTGTGATTCCAAGCTCTTCTCGGGTAGGGACACATCCACAATTAGTGCACCCACGTGACCCAGCCCGCTGCAGATGGCACAGCCAGTGCGGGACGCCTTCTTTTATATGGACACGGCACGCGAACTATAGGCTTCAGAAGTGAAAGCACCTTTCGCGAGTGTCCTAGTGGTCCTAGCGTGCACAAAGATCGAGCATCCGAGGCTGCTGGGAAGCCGCCCTCTCCTTGCTCTCCACGTTCCGGCCGAGGAGTCTTCGGCTGGATAACCTGTCCTACAACCCCACAATTGCAGCCTGTGGCTCCGAAGCTTGGGAGTTGGCTTTTGTGCTGCTGCAAGGGATGCCCAGCCACTCCCTGCGTTCGGATCCATACACAGAGACGGCGGCGATTCCGGCCCTGGCCCAGGCCTGGCCACGCGCCCTGGCACTGGGCCACCTCCCAACAGGGGCGCCCTGGGAGCAGGCTCTTCTGAGCCTGGAGCTTTGCAGTCCGGGAGGAAGGCCCCGCGCCTTGGAGGCTGCCCTGCTCAGCGCCGTCTCCGCCTCCAAGGAGAACGCTCTCTCCGTGTCCGTGTCCGGGCCAGCCTGGCGCAGGGCCTTGGCCATGTTCTGCCTGTGCTGCCCCGGCCTGAGGCGTAGCTGCGCAAGCTTCGCAAACGTCGCAGGGCTCCGCGAGTGGCCGCAATCCCTTCACATTGCAGAGAGGATGGGTCAGGCCGGGATCCCTTCTTCGATGGTTGTACAGAGCTCCGTTATGGGCTCCGTGGGTGCGGACAGTTCAAGGTGGCGGCTGTCACTTTCCATTTTTCATCGGTTGAGTCGAGATGTTCAGGCTGATGTGGTAGCCTTCTGTGTCATGTCCACTAGCTTTGGGGAAGCCAGTGAGTGGGGGAAATCCTTGCTTTTGCATGGCGAGCAGATGCACCAGTTGGTGACTTTCCGGACAAGCCTTACAGCGTGCGAGAGGGGCTCGCAATGGCAGTGCGGACTTCATGTTCTCGAGGCTTCGCAGGCGGCCGGCTTTCGCGACGCCAACAGTGCCTAGGCAGCCAATGAACTTCTCTATCTATCTATCTATCTATCTCTCTGTCTATCTATCTATCTATCTATCTATGTCTATATCTATATGAATCTATCTATATCTATATTAATCTATATACATATTATATATATATATATATTCACGTTCGATTATTATACCCAGGTAATGGTTAAAGCTTCCACTCTTCTCCCAGAACTTGTCTCTCTCACTGAGGTTGCAGCGCCGCAATCAGTGCCTGCGAGAACTGCGGGGAGTGGGAGGTCGCCATGGAGCTGCTTCATACGATGTTTCGACAGGAACTCCGGCCTGATAGCTTCACCCTCAGCGCAACGATTTCTGCCTGTGCCAACTCTGGCAACTGGCAGCTGGCCGTAGACTTGTTGGAGTGCATGGATGACTGGCGAATTCCTGCAAATGGGATCTGCTTGACTGCGGCCATCAGTGCTTGCCGTGCCTCTGCCCAGTGGCAGTTGGCATGTGATTTACTTAAGAGAGTTGCGTTGCACGGTTTCGTTTTTGATGAGCTTGCTTGCACAGCTAGCATGGGCGCATGTGGGCAAGCTAGCCAGTGGCAGCGTGCTACGCAGCTTCTGCCCTGGCTGCAGGGCTACTGCCTGCAACAGTCTGAATTCGTCTTTGGAGCTGCAGTTGGCGCTTGCGCCAAGGGTCAAGCAAGTGCCTTTTCAACCGCTGGTCATGAAAAAGACACCAAGTACAATACAGGTGTACCTTTAAAAATCCGTTTCCTTGCCACAACAATTTCCCGCAGGCCACGGACCTCGCCGGGATTCAGATCTACCGGGCTTTGCTGCAGCCCGCTTCTCAACATCCGACTCGAAGTCGCCAGCAGCTGCCCTTTGGTTCAGGTGGGGCAGAAAGGATACAGGGAAGCCTCAAGCGAATGCACGCACGCCGCTGGAACCCATCTTGCCGGATGCGGTTTGTGGGCGTGGTCCCGAGTCGCGGCCCTTGCGGCCTGAAGCCAAGCCGTCCATGGCGCGCCAAGGAGAAGCAACAGCTTGCCAGTGCAAGCTCACAAGGCGAGACCGACGAGCGACGCCGTCACACTGCAGGCGTGTCGCCGTCTTCCAATCTTTGCATACTCGCGGCATCTCTTGCGCGCTGGGTTTGCAGGCGGACATCCCCCCCGTCCAGTCAACGACAGGCCCACGAAGAATACGTTGCGAGAGCATCTGTGCAAATTGCTCTTAGTCTTGAGGTCTCCAGCAACCTCCGCCGCTCGTCTCGGTCCCGGTGGTCCCCGCTCAGAGCTCCCCGACTCCGCAGAGGCCAGCTAATAAGGAAGAATCGAAGAGAAGGCTTAACGATTCTGCGAGAAGTTTTGCAACGATTCTGTCGAGAGGACTCGGAAGCCTTCGCACGTTGGAGGGGAGGAGTTTGAGCCCGTGGTGGGCGAAGCGAAAGCCACCCCGGAAGAACCTCTGACGGCGGTGGCATCTACCCCAGCCCAGCGAGCTCTTGGCGGCGAAAGTACAGCTGCAAATCTCAAGAACGCCCCAGCGATCGGAAATGATCCAGGCAGCAGCTGAAACTGCACAGAAATCCGTCAAAAAGCAGAACTTGTCATTGCAGGTCCGGACTTGGTCGACCTGCTTCCCACAGCCTCTGCACTGGTCTCCACTTCGACGCTTCCCTTCCGATCCACGGAGGACCCGCCACACAGTGGTAGCCGCAACGCCTGGCGGCAACGCTGTCAGGAAGCCAGCACGTCGCAGCCGAGGAGTGGCGGAGTGTGTGTGTGTTGGTTTAAAGCGCTTCAAAAAAAGCGCCTCTCTCTCCTTGGAGGCCCCAAGCCGGTTTGGGCGACGATGCCATGGCCATTCTGGCGGATGCTTTTGGGTACCGGAAGAGCCTCGCGCGAGCGAGGGTCCAAGTTCCCACGCCCACTCAGAGCTCCCGAGTGGAGAGAATCCCAGGCGGTTGGTGCTTGGCAGAGTGCTCTGCAAGACGAGAGAGAGCTCGTGCTGGAGCTTCGACGAAAGCAGGCAGAGGAAGTCCCAAAGACACATCTTGACATCGCTCCGTGTATGACTCCGCCTGCAGGCGCTGGGATACTGGTTCCGCCGGACCAGGCCTGCCTGCAGGATGCTTTTCAAGCAGCAGATGCCCGTAAAGCCCCAATCGGTGCAGGTCCGACCTGGCCGAGAGGGCCGCGGACCTTGAGAGCAGGTCCTCGCAGCGTCGACGAACCCTGAAGTCCGGATCTCATGGGGTTTCAGAAAGCTGTGCGCCTACGGCCTAGGGGGTCGCTGATCATTGGGAGTCCTTGCCGTAAATCGTGAGTGTTGAGGGGGGGGCTTTGGTGTTTTTTCTGATGCGATTCTTGCTTCAAGGCTTGGCGTGGCGAGATGGCAGCTTTGCCTCATGGCGAGAAGGAGCTTCCGCCATACCTTCGCCCGGTTGCAGGGGTCCAGGTCCCGGTGTGCTTTCGAGTCCGAGGCTTCGCATATAGGGTTATATAGGAGTTGCCTGGGCCACAAGAATGTGAAGGGTTGATGACCTCAGTATTTCAGTATATAAGAGCACCGTCGGCTCAGGCTCCAGGGCCGACGCTGCCTGCACTTGGCTTACGGCAGCTGGCTGCTGGCCGTCACTCCCCCAGCAAGCTCTTTTTTGGCCCTCTCGCAGCGATGGAGTCTGGATTGAGGTGAACTCCGTTCGGCCCTGAAACGCGCAGAATATACTACTTTCTGTATTTGGACCGAGGGCCCGGGACTTGGCATGGGTCTCCTTAGGCCAAAGAGCGCCTGGCGCATGCGACGCGGCTCACGCGCTGCCGAGTGCTACAGGCCATTGCGATTTGAGTTGCGTCGCTCTGCGATCATCGCCGGACCGTTGTTGTGAGGGCTGCTGGACAGCGCTGCGGGCATACTCGCAGCAGCGACAGCTCATGGCCTTGTGCCACAGGGTAGAGATTCAGTGGCTGAGGGCTTCCGTGCCCCGCTGCTCGCAGAGCCTTTCTGCTGCGCTGGAGGTACCGGAGCTGGGCAGACGTGCACTGGCTCCGCTCTCGGATGACTGCGGCCTGGCAGGCCGAAGTCCGAAGGGCCCGGCCGGGGCCCTGGCAAGGCCTCTTTTGCTTTCGTGGCGGCAGGCGTGGCTTCGGTGGTTCCGGAAGCGTGGGAAGGCCTCCTGACACGGCCTTTGAGCCCTGCGCCCCTGCGCCACACTCAACCCTTCGATGAGGTGGTGGCCATGCGCAGTGAGCCGCAGCTGCTGGCGGCCTGGTGCTGGCTTCGGGTGCATGCGGGAGCCGAGCCCCACAGGTAAGCGGCAAGGGTGCAAAGTGTCAAGCTCTCCCTCCTGTGTCGCCAGGCAGCGGCTGCCACCGGGCTCAGGCCGATTCGCTAAATTCACTGGCTCTGGCAAGCTTGCAACTGCCTTCGTGCCTTGAGGTCACTCGCAACAACGCACATGGTCCAAAGTCTCAGTCGTGGTTTCATCTTGCATCCTACAGCATAGTCTATGCTCGAGACTCGAGACCATCCAGGTGGTGGGCCCCAGCAGTTGACCTTCTTTTCGGTCCAGCACCCTTCGAAATCCATCCACACCACATGCAGGCCCTCCTTCCGACAACAGTATGCAACAGGTATAATCAAGCCTCGCGATGCCTGCAGGCTGTACAGCTCACCGTGCTGCGCGGATTTGTCAGTGCGCTGTTGAAGAAGATGTTCTCGTGTTGGCAGATGCAGGACGGGGTTCCAAACTCCAGCTGACACCCTTGCCCGAAGCAGCGAGCTTGCCTTGCGCAAGGCCCAGGTGACCAGCAGCTTCCTCCAAAAAGTCCGCCGGAGCACGTTCGCGACCTGCCTCCCGGCCTGGAAGGCTCTGCAGATTTTAATCGCAACTGCAAAACGGCACACATCCCGTTTGCGCGAGCAAGTGTGGAGGTCCAAGCCGAAGAACTCCGGCGAACCCGCGCATGCCAGCAAGAAGCTGCGAGCTCACAGCCCCCACGGCGTTTCGGGGCCCTTCGGCCTCCGGCCGGCGCGGAGTCTCCAAGGTGGCTTCACTGAGAGCGGGCCGGAGCCGAGCGAGTGCCTTGAGGACCTGGAGCCGAAGGTGAGTCCTCACACGGACTGAGAGCCGTAACAATATGGGCTCGAGCGAGAGGTGCCGACGCCGAATCGAGCATCGACACCGGGCCCAAGATTTCGCTGCGGACTGTTGGCATCGAAGCTGCAGGAGGCAGCTCACTTTTCTTGGAAGGATGGCTTCTGAGACCTTCACACAAATCCACTCAGGGCCTTCTTGGCGTGGCGCAGAGCTTGGGACTGGGAGGTGTGCAGCTGAGCCGCATGCGAGGGCTGCCGCAACTTGTGAGACTTTGCACCACGCTGCAGTTTGTGTCTGTCAGGCTGCAGTGCTCAAAGCACAGTCTCTTGCCGGAGGGCGCCTTCTTTGTGCGGCGATGAAGGCTACTAGTGATTACTAGTGTATGGCGATTCTCCATGCGATCGTGAACACGTTGGGCCCTCATGGGCCTTTTGGGCTGCTGTACTTGAGAACCCCGCGGCGACCTATAAAGTCCTGAGCAACAGAAAGGCTGGCAAAATGCACGGAAGTTGCGACGCAAACAACACCTCCCCAGCAGAAGAGACCCAGAAGAAAAACAAGACCGAGACCCACCACGGGGCCGGTTGAAAGCTTGCATATGCCCCGCAAGAGAAGAACTCAACCTCGTGCATTCTGCCGACTTCGCGGTCGTCTGTGCCCATGACATGACGTCGTCGTGGCGACGTCCCGGTCCTCTCTGCCGTGCACATGAAAGGCTTGGGTCGGACTGTGGCACCATGAGCGACAGGAGACCGCACAAGATCGCTGAGCAGCGTGTGTGTGTGCATGCGTGTTGATTCAGAAGTTCCAGGAAGCGATCCGCTTGCGGCTCTCGGGGCTCTTCCTGCGAAAGTGCAGCTGCAGCCTTGGCAGCCTGTGGCTACCTGGCCCCGCCCTGCTGCTGATGTTCGGAGGCCTGAAACGCGGGCTGTGGAAGCTCCACGTCCACGCGCCCCGCTCGGAGCGGAACTTCCAAAGAGTCTCTGAGATATTCTGAGATGATACGAAGTCGGGACTCGCATCTTGATATCTCATGCCGTGTCCAGGTCGGCATTCAGACCCGGCGCCGGGCCTTGCTGCAGGTCGATCCGGGAGGGCGATGCGCCTCCGTGTGGTGCTCGGCTCACGGTCGAATCTCGCAGGCGGAGGCTCAGCTTCGGGAGGCGGTCCTCCGGAAACGCTGGCGCCGGCTCGAGGCCAAACCGCACGCTGAAGGCTGCGCTGAAAAGTGAATCAGTGGAGAGCCTGTTTTGAGGCTTGCTGGGGTGCTTGGAGAAGACATGCCGAGCATTGCCGGCTCATGAAATTGTGCCCCATTTGGCTCTGCCATGGTGCATTGTTCGAGTGATTCTGACCTGTAGGTATCGTAGCTGGGCGGACGTCCACTGGCTCCGCTCTCGGCTGACTGCGGCATGGCAGGCCGGGGTCCAAAACAAGGGGGTCTGTAAGTCACATGATGGCCTCTCACTTCTTGGAGGCCTGGCTCCAGTGGTTCCGCAAACGCGGGAAGGCTTCGGGCCTTCTGCAGTTGCCTTCGTGTCCGCACTTTGATTTGGGGTTTTGATGAGAGGTGGTGGCCATGCGCAGCGCCCCGCAGCTGCTGGCGGCCTGGCGTTGGCTCCGAGTCCACGCAGCCTGCTTTGCCCATGGGCAGTTCATGCGCAGGCCGGGCCCCGCGATCAAGTGACGAGTACTATAGCAACCCGTGCAATCGAGGCCGCAACCTCCCATTGATGCGGCGGTTGCACCATGGTGCCGGGCTGACACACAGCAGAAGCATCGGGCACAGATTTCTGGCCCCAGGCAGCCCGTGGCCGCCGAGCTGCTCTTCGGCCCGGCCCCCTTCGACGTCCACCCGCACCACATGCAGGAGCGCCCGACGCAGAGTCGGGAGTTTTCGCAATGAACCGATGTCATGGATAATGCGATGTAAACGGACCTGCAAGAAACTTGGTGCATGACAATGCGTGAGAAAATGTACGCAGGTTAGGGCCTACAGAACGAGATAGCAGGCGAGATGGGTTCAAAATACAGGAACCAGAAGGGGAGTCAGAGCTGACTCTGTTTGCAGACTGATAAGCCTGGCGACCTTGCGTTCGTGCGCGGGTGGCAGGGAGGAGAGCCGACTCCCGGGCGGTGTTTCCATTGCCTCTGCAACTTAGCAACCTGAAGCAGCAAACTGAGGCAAACTGAGAAAAGGCCAACAATGACAGGCGAGAGTGAGAGAGAGAGGCAGAGAGAGCGAGCGGCGCGCGGGCAGGGGAGGCAACTCCTCTCATCATATCCCTTCCGAAAGAAAGAGAGCGAGAGAATATGTCGCACGCCACGGTGAACATGAAACATGACTCCTAGCACGTGTTGCGATTGTCTTTGAGCAGGCTATGCGGCCTGGACTCCTGGAGCTCTTCGCAAGCGCTCTGCGGAAGGAGATGATGGAAGTCTGGAAATCCGAGGCGCGAGGTTTGTGAGGAGCGGATCTGGGAGCGGCGAGCGGTGTCCCCTTCCTTGAGGTTTATCGGAGCCGGAGCAGACTGCAGAGAAGAAAGTCCTGCATGTCTCGGAGATGGCTCTGGGCTTGGAAGGCCGACTAAAAAAAAGCAGGGGACTGCACAAGAAAGATAGGACGAGGCCCAGAACAGCGCGGATTGTCGAAGGCGGCCGCAGAGAAGTGCAGGCGCTTGCACAGCATCAAGACTGCAGCGCTGATCCCAGAATGGAAGCCAAATGCGGGGACGGGAGTATAATGCAGGTTAGCAAGTTCTTGGGGACCCCCTTGAGGTCCTCAGCTTTCGCTGCCGGCGTGCCCGCCGGCGGCTGCTGCATCATTGGAGCCGAAGGTCTCGAGCACAGCTCGGAGCAGAGCTTCCAAGCTCAGCGTGAGCGTGAGCGCCTTTCTGGCAGGACCACCCAGCGAGCGGAGTATCGCGAGAGAGCTCAACACTTGGTGTCGGCATGCTTGCATCGCACTTGCCGGAGGCAGAGTACCAGTAGAGTCTTCATGGCCCTGCGGCATCTTGCATGCAGGGCCTTGGATGCATGGTTGAGGGCGCGGAGATGGCAGGCACCAGGAGTCGAATGTGCAGCAAAGGTTTGAAAACGGCGAGGCATGCCGATCTCTTATGTAGGATCCGCTTTCACTGGCACTGAGCATGTTGCAATTGTCTTCGGTGCCGCGGTGCAATGCCAACTATAATTATTCACAAATGTTTTCCGAGCAAGGCATATAATGCCAAGTGCGCACTATATATCTGGTCAGCTCGCTTTTATTCTAGAGGCCTTATCATGTTTATTGTACGTGTGGGCTTGAAGCACGGAGGAGCTGGGAGGTAGAGAGGGAGGTTTCCTGCCTCACACCGACAAATTCAGACACGCCCCGCAAGGAAGCAAGCAAGAGCAGCAAACCGTGGCTTTCCCGAGAGTTCGCCAAAGCCCCAACGACAAAGGCGCTCCTTTCGGCGCAGGAGGCCTAAACCACGTCCTGGAATTCAAAGTGAAGTTAAGGTGTGTGAAGTGCAGGACACGCAGCTGCGAGTGCGCGCGGGGGTTCGGGCGTCCGCTCGTCCCCCTGTCCTGGTAGAGAGAGGGAGAGAGACAGGGGCAACCCTCGAGCCGGGAGCCCTGGCGAAAGAAAGAGAGAGAGAGCTGAACGGTTTGGAGACGAGTGCAACGTTGACCGTCTTCAGCCCCTGAGGCCCTGAAGCGATTGTAACTTAGAAAGCTGTACATCAGGCACTGGCGAGGCAGGTGCAAAAGCGGCAGCTGCGAAGTCAGTTCCAGGCCATTGCAGCTGCGCAACAAATCCTTGCTGCTTCCCTCCGCATCCCTCCGCCCTCCGCAACAGGCTTGGGTCGTTCAATGGCAGGACGACCGGCAGGACAGGAGCCGTTTTTTACAAGTACTTCAGATCGCGGCAGTTGAACGTCTGTTGGAGGAGGCAGCGCTGCTCCGCCTGTCGGCTCTCTGCTTGCGAAAGCGCAGCTCGGAGCCCAGCGGAGAAAGCGAGCGAAAGGTGAAGCAGCGTGCACCAGAAAAGAAACAGTCCACTACCCACTGATGCCAGGTCTCCGCAACGGACTCTTGGCCCTGCGCTCTCAGGCATCCGGTCGAGTTCAAGGGCTGCAGCAGGTGCGAGAGACAGGAAACGACTTCATGCCCTGAAGGTGCGGCGGGAAGCAGCCCTTCGAGCTTGTCGCAAGGTCGGTGACTCGAGAGGGAGAACCACATCCAGAACGGTTGCGGTAGAGCTGTCGGGGTCTGAAAGCTGTAACGAAAAGGCAATTGCAAAGTCCCCATGTATGCTAACTGGAGAACTGGAGACACATGGACGTGTACTCATAGGCAATTGGAAAGGCTAGCAGCACGAAGTGGCACGAAGTATGAACCGAATACCGGCCAACGCTGAGCAGGGCTAGTTCTCAGTGCTGAGTCGTTCCGCTCTTGGAGAATAACCTGCGAAACCTCAGCCTGCACAAGCACATCGCCGGCCACACCTTCGAGAGCACTGCAGCTGTAAAGGCTCTCTAGAAGGCGTGACA